ACTCACTGGATACAGGTGTGTTTCTCCATTACTGAACCATTCCAGTTGTGTGTTACTATGAATATCATCCCCGTATTAGCCGCACATTAGACCCACTGGATACAGGTGTGTTTGTCCATTACTGAACCCATTCCAGTTGTGTGTTACTATGAATATCATCCCCGTATTAGCCGCACATTAGACCCACTGGATACAGGTGTGTTTGTCCATTACTGAACCCATTCCAGTTGTGTTTTACTATGAATATCATCCCCGTATTAGCATTTTGGGTAGGGCCCACTGGATACAGGTGTGTTTGTCCATTACTGAGACCATTTCGGTTGTGTGTTACTATGAATATCATCCCGTATTAGCGGCACGTTAGACCCTGGATACAGGTGTGTTTGTCCATTACTGAAGACCCATTCCAGTTGTGTCGGTTGCATGAATATCATCCCATGTTGGCGCACATTAGACCCACTGGATACAGGTGTGTTTGTCCATTACTGAACCCATTCCAGTTGTGTGTTACTATGAATATCATCCTCGTATTAGCCGCACATTAAACCTACTGGATACAGGTGTGTTTGTCCATTACTGAACCCATTCCAGTTGTGTGTTACTATGAATATCATCCCCATATTAGCCGCACATTAAAATCATTGGATACAGGCGTGTTTGTCCATTACTGAACCCATTCCTGTTGTATGTTACTATGAATATCCTACCCGTATTAGCCGCACATTATACACACTGGATACAGGTGTGTTTGTCCATTACTGAACCCATTCCAGTTGTGTGTTACTATGAATATCATCCCCGTATTAGCCGCACATTAGAATCACTGGATACAGGTGTGTTTGTCCATTACTGAACCCATTCCAGATGTGTGTTACTATGAATATCTTCCCCGTATTAGCAGCACATTAGACCCATTGGATACAGGTGTGTTTGTCCATTACTGAACCCATTCCAGTTGTGTGTTACTATGAATATCATCCCCGTATTAGCCGCACATTAAACCTACTGGATACAGGTGTGTTTGTCCATTACTGAACCCATTCCAGTTGTGTGTTACTATGAATATCATCCCCATATTAGCAGCACATTAAAATCAATGGATACAGGCGTGTTTGTCCATTACTGAACCCATTCCTGTTGTATGTTACTATGAATATCCTACCCGTATTAGCCGCACATTATACACACTGGATACAGGTGTGTTTGTCCATTATTGAACCCATTCCAGTTGTGTGTTACTATGAATATCATCCCCATATTAGCAGCACATTAGACACACTGGATACATGTGTGTTTGTCCATTACTGAACCCATTCCAGTTGTGTGTTACTATGAATATCTTCCCCGTATTAGCCGCAAATTAGACCCACTGGATACAGGTGTGTTTGTCCATTACTGAACCCATTCCAGTTGTGTGTTACTATGAATATCATCCCCGTATTAGCTGCACATTAGACCCACTGGATACAGGTGTGTTTGTCCATTACTGAACCATTCCAGTTGTGTGTTACTATGAATATCATCCCTGTATTAGCCGCACATTAGACACACTGGATACAGTTGTGTTTGTCCATTACTGAACCCATTCCAGTTGTGTGTTACTATGAATATCATCCCTGTATTAGCCGCACATTAGACTCACTGGATACAGGTGTGTTTGTCCATTACTGAACCCATTCCAGTTGTGTGTTACTATGAATATCATCCCCGTATTAGCCGCACATTAGACCCACTGGATACAGGTGTGTTTGTCCATTACTGAACCCATTCCAGTTGTGTGTTACTATGAATATCATCCCCGTATTAGCAGCACATTAGAATCACTGTTTGTCCATTACTGAACCCATTCCAGTTGTGTGTTACTATGAGTATCATCCCCGTATTAGCCGCACATTAGACCCACTGGATACAGGTGTGTTTGTCCATTACTGAACCCATTCCAGTTGTCTGTTACTATGAATATCTTCCCCGTATTAGCCGCACATTATACACACTGGATACAGTTGTGTTTGTCCATTACTGAACCATTCCAGTTGTGTGTTACTTTGAATATCTTCCCCGTATTAGCCGCACATTATACACACTGGATACAGGCGTGTTTGTCCATTACTGAACCATTCCAGTTGTGTGTTACTTTGAATATCTTCCCTGTATTAGCCGCACATTAGACCCACTGGATACAGTTGTGTTTGTCCATTACTGAACCCATTCCAGTTGTGTGTTACTATGAATATCATCCCCGTATTAGCCGCACATTAGACACACTGGATACAGGTTTGTTTTAATCTAAACAAGGATTTTTCCTTTGATTATTTATTGAACAAGCATTGCACAGATTTTATATCTTTACAAATTGATCATAAATAGGAAAAAATATCACTTGTTCTTTACTATGTTGAACCCACTGTTTGAATTTGGGGTACAATATATCTAAATATCAGGGCCACAAAAAAAAAAAAAAATCTGCTGTGAAAAAGAAAAAATAAATACATATGTTTTCTCAAAACCCCCTAATATAGAATAGTTTCTATACATAATAGTCAATGGTCTGTTAAATACTGTCTGTGTTACTATACCTATGTTGAGTCCTTTCCTCCCTGTATCACTTATAGATTATCATACCTGGAGGGATACTGATTGGCTATTGTACGAGCACTTTCATAGAAATTGTGAGTGTGCTATGATGTCATACTATTGGAATGCTGTCACATCCTGTTCTGTTTTGCGGAGATGTCTGGCCTTGGCTTCTGGTATCCAGTACTCTTTTTACAATTCTTCTTTAGTTTTTCTTGTTTTTTCTGGTTTTCTATTCCATGTCTGGTTTTCTTTATGCTGGGTTTTCTGAGTTAATTTCTTTATTCCATTCCTGGAATTTCCAGTCTCTTGGATTCCTTTAACTGTTTGTTTTTTTTGTTGCCAGACCCGTTCCTTTTCCATTAATCCTTTTTGTTTCAGTCTGTTCCTGCTAGCAGTGATCTCATTCCTCTGCTCCTTTCTTGCAGCTAAGTGCTCTTTTAGTCATGCCTATCTAGGCAGCTAGGACCCGCATATCTAGGCAGTTAGGACCCACCGTAATAGGATTCGTTGGCGCAGTGGTGGGCTGCATACATCTTGGCCATTTATGTATGTCTCCAACGTTTATTACATATATAGTACTTATTTATCACTCCTCTTGTTTTGCCTTGTTTAATTTGTCTTGTATTCCCAGTTCATGTAGTCCATATCCTGTTCTTGTTTTCCTCATGTCTTGTGTACATGTTCTGCTTTCTGTTCTGCTTTGGTTCTGGGTTCTTCTAGTCTTGTCTTGTTATCTTGTTTGGCGCCTATTCTAGTCTTGCCTTGTTTCTACTACTGAAACATAGAAACATAGAATGTGACGGCAGATAAGAACCATTCGGCCCATCTAGTCTGCCCAATTTTCTAAATACTTTCATTAGTCCCTGGCCTTATCTTATAGTTAGGATAGCCTTATGCCTATCCCACGCATGCTTAAATTCCTTTACTGTGTTATATCTGTGGGATCTGCAGTAGCTGTTTCAGTGCCCTGGTATGTGGCCGCTCAAACCCTGGTGCTCATTGATTGTTCATTTCCACGCTGTAACTCCTACCATCATCAGGCATACAGGAGTCCCAGTCACCGGACTGCCACCCATGACAAATGTGCAGCGTTATAGCAATCATGGCAACTACAATCATTCTCAAATAGCCAAGGTGTTTGGGAATAAAATGTAATTTGCAGTCTATGGTAGAGGACAGCAATAGCTATAATATTAGGCAACAAATCTCTCTATCCTATAAGTCCAGCCTAATTCTGACAAGTAACCCCTACTGACAATAGCCAAACAATAGTCTTACCATAGCCTAAACCACTCCTAGGCAAACCTTATAAAATTATAACTTCTATAACAACCTTTCATAACCCATGGTCTACTCCCCTTAACCTCATCCTAACACTAACATCTAGTCCTTTTCTGTGTAATTTTAATTGCCATGTGACGGGTACCCTATGCCCCAACTGAGCACACCCGTCCAAACAGCTTCTTCCCACCTCCAAACCACAGATGTCAGCTCGTTCACAAAGATGCCAGCTAACACCTCTCCCACAAGAACAGCAGACACACACAGCTTGAGGATAGAACAGGAACTAATTTTTATTAGACACACCCAGGTATTTGTATACAAGTAAACTCATTAGTAAACACACAAAGGTTTGGAACAGAAACCAATCAAACTGGGCCTAAACAAACAGCCAATCACACTATAACCAATAGTACATACTATCACAGAACACCTACTTTGCATACACAGGAAAACATTATGCATTAGGTAAAGGGATTGTGACAAAACCTTTATTTTGCCTTCCCAAGAACCATTCTCTTCCTCAGTTCGGGAATCCATTTAAACTTCGTTTTTATGTTACCAAAGTTGACTGACCGATAGCACTGATTTCATGGAACTGTTTTGGGCATAGGACCATGTGCGTGGTAGGTCAAATAATTGACTTCCATGGAACTCTTGAACCCCTGAACTGATCTGGATGATTTTTAGATATGTTGGTCACCCAGATCAGGGCATGTATTTTGAAGGTACTTTTGGGGTGTTTGTAAATGTGTATGTTTTTCTGTGCCTGGAGATAATTAAGTTTGTACAGTTTCTGACTCAATTATCTCCCAGGCACAGGGGATGGATTACCCTATTTTGAGTGGGAGTGTCATGGGTGTGTTTTCTGTGTCTTTGTACTGCATAAAAGCAGGCCATTGAGCCTGGATTAAAATGATCATCTTACCCCTTCATGAAGTCTAGGCACATGTTTGGGGGATTGGGAGCTATATTCACATGTATAACCACTACGGCGCTTGGGACTTGGGAGATTCTTCACGGATGTACTCAGCTGGAGTACCGGGATCCGTTACAGGGATTAACACACAGTCAACAATAGGTGACTCAGCTCCCTAAATCACAAAGGGGAAAGTCCCAACCCGCTCTCCCCCCACGTGGTCACACAGTCTCTGGTTCGGCACCATCTTGTCTCTCCATGTTGTGGCTAGGTCTAAGTCTGTGCAGTCTAAATGGCCGCTCCCCACCAGAGCCCACCCAAACAAAGGAGCCCTTAATGCCCAAGTGACGGCATACCAGCCTTCTCTCACATGCCATAATTACTGACCCTATCACCAATAAGCCCAAGTCTTTCTAGCTCCCATAATTCCTATCCTAAATCCCCTTTCATAACCTTGATGTCTAATTCTTTGGTACGTCTTTGGTACGTCCTTTGGTACGTCCTTGACTCTTACTAAGCAAAAATGTGTAGGAATATCAGTGAATTTTTTTTTTTTATACATCTTATTTATGTTTGTTTTTTTCACGATGGCCTGATTCTAACTTAGCTGGAAAAAGGTTTATTACATTAATGGTGTCACACAATCATGGATTTGCAGACTGGGATTATCTACATTGAAATGAGATGAATATAAGTGATTCAGGAGAGATTAAAGCTGTGTGTCTCTCTGATATACAATCTCTTTTACTAACAACGTAATCTACTGTAAATCAGCGCAGTATGTAATTCATACCTCTGGAAACCTTTCATTAAAAAGCACTAGACACCTGTCTGAGATATATCCGGAGGAATTGTCTTGATATTTTAAGGGATGCCTTACAAAGCATTGGAGTGAAAAGCATTTTAAATGTCACCTTCATGTGTCATTGTCATGGTGTATAGTCTCTGTGGTCCCCTGTCAACCACAGACATGATACAATGTCACTGAGAGATCCATCTAATCTTCAAGCCCACAGGTTGCTACATATCAAACGAAAGTTGAGTTGACAAGTGCCTTCCTCAGTGACATTAATGTAATATGGTGACTTGGATGACAGTCGTACGGGTGTGTGTTCTTTTAGTGATCTGTCAAGATGTTCTTTAGTCCTATCTAGGTGAGAAAAATCGTTTCATGGGAAAACCCTTTCTAAAACTCACCAAGAACCCTACAACAAGGTCAGAGATTGATATTCTGTTAGTTGTATTGCCCTCGGTGCATTGTGTTACTTTTTCTAACTAAAAAAATCAAAACTAGAGCCTAGGGAGGCAGAGTACAGATTCCAAGGACATTAAGAAGTGTTTTAAGTGTTTTAAGCTACTTGTCAGTTTCTCTTGAGTAGAAATACATTTTTTTTCTTCAAAATAGTTCTGCTCTTAGAGGTATTTGTCTGTCCAAAGAGGCGTAAAATGCATTCACGTTTGTTTGCCAGCAGGTTTTGTCTCCCCTTTATGCTTGTTTGAACACCTTTTCTATGAACCAAGGGCGGCAGCTGTGAACTATTAGAACAAAATCCAGGTTCCTTAAAAGCTTTGACAAGAGAGAAAGTGTTTGTTTAGTGGAGTTTTCCATTAAAAATGGAAACAAAAGTACACAATGATCTGACTGAGAAATATCCATGACAATTTAATCATTTATTTGGATTATTTTAAAGAAAATTAAGTGTGTGAATCTCCCTGATAGATGACTGGCAGAGTTGGTCCTATGTTAGCGAGACGGATTCCATACAGATCGAAGCTTCAGATCATCAAATCTCTCACCAAGTTAGCTGTATCATTAATTAGCAAATCGATCAGAAAACTGTGAAATAGCATCTGGGGACCTATAGCAAACTACAGATTGAATGTTAACATGACTATTACAAATGGAACCTTTAAAACAGCTTTCTCTATGGATTATACTCAGAGTTGGTCAATTTTGAGAGTTGGTCAATACCCGGTTTTGGTATTTGGGATATTTAAAGTCCCAATTCTCTATCCAGTTTTTGATCCAGCACTCTCCCAAGTCGTAGATCTCCAGAATTCAAATGGTTCTGATGGACATTGTGATGAATCTCCTGCACCCTCTGTTGGTAACAAAGAAAAATGATTTGATTAGTATAAATGCAATATGCAAATTAGGAAACTGCAAACACTAACCGGTTACATTGATGAATCTCTGTTATCACATAGGTTAGAAAGTTGTGATTGTATTATATATTTGAGGCATTATTATGCATGTTCTTCAAGTTATGAATTCCAACACATGTTTAAGGACAAGTCACCAAAGGTAACACCCCTCCATTGCATGGCATCCAAGAAGAAAGAGATGGAGGTCAGAAACTGTAATATCTGGTGAGACCACTCAAGCCTGACCTCTTCTTTTATGGTGGAAAAAAGGTCTTTATAGGCTATAGAGTAGCTTTATCCAAATAAACCGTGTGCATAATCTCACAGAAAAATTCACAAAGCATAAACCAAGCCTGCATAATATGATGTTCATCCTACATGTTCACAAATGTGATGAATAGTGCAATATGACTATAAAAAAAACCAAAAAACTATGAACGCAAATAATGGGCAGATTTCTACACTGTGACTGCAGAATGATCCATTAAACATGTCACTTTCATTAGTACACTGTGACCCTGGGAGGGACTGACCATTAAACATGTCACTGTCATTAGTACACTGTGACCCTGGGAGGGACTGACCATTAAACATGTCACGGCCATTAGTACACTGTGACCCTGGGAGGGACTGACCATTAAACATGTCACTGTCATTAATACACTGTGACCCTGGGAGGGACCGACCATTAAACATGTCACTGTCATTAGTACGCTGTGACCGTGGGAGAGACTGGCCATTAAACATGTCACTGTCATTAGTACACTGTGACCCTGGGAGGGACTGACCATTAAACATGTCACTGTCATTAGTACACTGTGACCCTGGGAGGGACTGACCATTAAACATGTCACTGTCATTAGTACACTGTGACCCTGGGAGGGACCGACCATTAAACATGTCACTGTCATTAGTACACTGTGACCCTGGGAGGGACCGGCCATTAAACATGTCACTGTCATTAGTACACTGTGACCCTGGGAGGGACTGACCATTAAACATGTCACTGCCATTAGTACACTGTGACCCTGGGAGGGACTGACCATTAAACATGTCACTGTCATTAGTACGCTGTGACCCTGGGAGGGACCGACCATTAAACATGTCACTGTCATTAGTACACTGTGACCCTGGGAGGGACCGACCATTAAACATGTCACTGTCATTAGTACACTGTGACCCTGGGAGGGACCGACCATTAAACATATCACTGTCATTAGTACGCTGTGACCCTGGAAGGGACTGACTATTAAACATGTCACTGTCATTAGTACGCTGTGACCCTGGAAGGGACTGACCATTAAACATGTCGCTGTCATTAGTACACTGTGACCCTGGAAGGGACTGGGACACTGACCATTAAACATGTCACTGTCATTAGTACACTGTGACCCTGGAAGGGACTGACTATTAAACATGTCACTGTCATTAGTACACTGTGACCCTGGGAGGTACTGACCATTAAACATGTCGCTGTCATTAGTACACTGTGACCCTAGGAGGGACCGACCATTAAACATGTCACTGTCATTAGTACACCGTGACCTAGGGAGGGACCGACCATTAAACATGTCACTGTCATTAGTACACCGTGACCCTGGGAGGGACCGACCATTAAACATGTCACTGTCATTAGTACACTGTGACCATGGGAGGGACTGACCATTAAACATGTCACTGTCATTAGTACACTGTGACCCTGGGAGGGACTGACCATTAAACATGTCACTGTCATTAGTACGCTGTGACCCTGGGAGGGACAGACCATTAAACATGTCACTGTCATTAGTACACTGTGACCCTGGGAGGGACAGACCATTAAACATGTCACTGTCATTAGTACACTGTGACCCTGGGAGGGACCGACCATTAAACATGTCACTGTCATTAGTACACTGTGACCCTGGGAGGGACTGACCATTAAACATGTCACTGTCATTAGTACACTGTGACCCTGGGAGGGACTGACCATTAAACATGTCACTGTCATTAGTACACTGTGACCCTGGGAGGGACTGACCATTAAACATGTCACTGTCATTAGTACACTGTGACCCTGGGAGGGACTGACCATTAAACATGTCACTGTCATTAGTACACTGTGACCCTGGGATGTCACTGGACACTGACCCTGTAAACATGTCACTGTCATTAGTACACTGTGACCCTGGGAGGGACTGACCATTAAACATGTCACTGTCATTAGTACACTGTGAACCTGGGAGGGACTGGGCATTAAACATGTCACTGCCTTTAGTACACTGTGACCCTGGGAGGGACTGACCATTAAACATGTCACTGTCATTAGTACACTGTGACCCTGGGAGGGACTGACCATTAAACATGTCACTGTCATTAGTACACTGTGAACCTGGGAGGGACTGACCATTAAACATGTCACTGTCATTAGTACACTGTGACCCTGGGAGGGACTGACCATTAAACATGTCACTGTCATTAGTACACTGTGACCCTGGGAGGGACCGACCATTAAACATGTCACTGTCATTAGTACACTGTGACCCTGGGAGGGACCGAACATTAAACATATCACTGTCATTAGTACACTGTGACCCTGGGAGGGACTGACCATTAAACATGTCACTGTCATTAGTACCCTGTGACCCTGGGAGGGACTGACCATTAAACATGTCACTGTCATTAGTACACTGTGACCCTGGGAGGGACTGACCATTAAACATGTCACTGTCATTAGTACACTGTGACCCTGGGAGGGACTGACCATTAAACATGTCACTGTCATTAGTACGCTGTGACCCTGGGAGGGACCGACCATTAAACATGTCACTGTCATTAGTACGCTGTGACCCTGGGAGGGACCGACCATTAAACATGTCACTGTCATTAGTACGCTGTGACCCTGGGAGGGACCGACCATTAAACATGTCACTGTCATTAGTACGCTGTGACCCTGGGAGGGACCGACCATTAAACATGTCCCTGTCATTAGTACACTGTGACCCTGGGAGGGACCGACCATTAAACATGTCACTGTCATTATTACACTGTGACCCTGGGAGGGACTGACCATTAAACATGTCACTGTCATTAGTACACTGTGACCCTGGGAGGGACCGACCATTAAACATGTCACTGTCATTAGTAAGCTATGATCATAGCAGAGATTGTATCTGTAATTAATATAAATTTGTGATTATTTTAGTCTTTTCCTGGCATTCCTACCATTCCGTCCTATAAATAACACCCATTATCCCTTTTGGATATTTCTGAAGCTTGTTAATTAGTACAATAGAAATATTTTGCCGCATTGTTTATTGCTCGCTGGGTTGTTTTTATCAGAGCTATTACTGAATGAAATGACTGCAATTTACTCAGAAGAATGGAGAGGCTGTAGTACCAGAGGAGGTATAATAGTGCAGTGCTTCTTCGTGGATTGCTGTTTAGGGGGTTTAGCAAGCTGTAAACATACTTGGAGTCTTGGCTTTAGTTTTCAAGACAGTTTACTGTTTTATTTAGTAAGTTAGCAAATGTTTATTTAGCTGTTAAAAGATAAAAGGCAGCTCTGCAGATGGAAAAGGAATGATTCATTGAAAACTACGACATCTGTGGAATTTCCTGAGTTTATGGAGGGGAAAGAAAGAAAGATTAACAAACTACCCAGAACCCCTATAATTGTCCTAAGCCCAAGTTATTTTCCCCTTTATTCGGCAGTTTTGTCTACCGAAGGCAGACCCACCTCAGGCTCATTATCTTCAAAGTAACCACAAAGTTAAGTGCTCTCCCTGGATGGCCTCCATTAGAACAACACGTGCGCTGTAAAATGGTGGCTATCTTGTCTCCCGAACACAGGCAGCAGTACTTGGTCGTCAAGTATCTGGAACTCTAAGTACCACCGCCTGCTTCTATTCCCGACAAGCCATGAGAGCACTAGTTAGTGAAAAGGTACGCACGAACTAGACGAACAATCGCTACCTATGAGCCAGGTATTTTGTTCATTTTGGAACTCCCAAAAGTGACTGACTGCTACCACTTTTCTTCTAGAATTCATTTTGGCAGATGCCATGTGTGCGGTCGGTCAAAACTTTACCCCGGTGGTGATTCGGCTGTGTTTGTGGCGTCTGAGCGCTATTTGGACACTTTGGGCGATCAGATCCATGCTATCTGGGGATATTAGACTTGTGGGGGTTCCTATTAATATTATATATGTCAAGGGGGATTTTATGTTTTATTCTCTGTACCTCTAGTGTCTGGGAGATAATTAGTTTAAGCAAAGTACACTCAGTTATCTTCCTGACACAGAGACGCCCTGGCGTGTTTTCCTATACTTTTGCTGGAGACCTAATACTGGGGGTCTGTGTATAAAAGTGGGCCATCTGGCCAAAATAAAACATTCGTTTTGTACTCTTCATCAAGTTTCGACTGTTTGGGTATGCAAACGATTAAGCACTTAATTTCCTCAAGACCTGCTTGGATTTCGGGAGAGTACAAAGAAATGTACTATGCGAACGGGCTCTAGGACTAGGAATTTGGGAGAGTGCGAATGAACGTACTAATCTAAGTACAAGGGGTTCGTTACAGATGGTTTGCAGAGGGGGTGGGATATGCACAGAATATCCTGTTCAGTAACAGGAGTGGACAGATGATGCATGAGATACAAAAAAAGGGAGTTTTACTAAAAACAAAAAGAATCACACTTAATTTATACAAGTGCAGTACTTAAGAAAATATATTCATGAGAAATACATAAATAAAGTTAAATATAGAGTATCTCAATACATTGCACTGTAATTCGTCCCTTATTTGGCCCATACATATATGGTTGTAATTTCTGGGGAAGTGAAAGTATGTTGGGTTCAATGTTTCTTGTCTCAGTTAACTGGGCCTACATTTGGCCGACAAGTATACGATAATTTGCACATATATATGCTCCCAGTCTTACTATTTACTTTAGTTCCATTTAGATATGAACACACTTTAGACTATCAGCCCTGTATACTGCAATTTATTACACATAAATACATAGCACTAGCCTTTCCGGTTCTTACCCTTTTTCTGTAAATGTAAGTTACAATACTTGAATATCTCGCTTGCAGGGGAATTCATTCGTGTTATCATTTATTAATTATAGGCAATATTCTGTTGCTTATCACAATCAAATTCCTACAAATTTGAGGGCTTTGCTTTGGAATAACAATAAGGCTAATCTATGTATACGTTCTCTCGTTATCACATTACGATAACCTTAATATTGTTCAGTTATTCTGTAGTCAGTAATACATTGTGAGAAGACATTCTCCCTATTTCAATATTGCTCTCAGCCTTAGGAATACATATATTGATATAAAAGACTATCTAATAAAGTAAACTCATTTCTGTAACCATTTTTGGCATTTTACTAAAAATGATAATTATGAAACCAAACATGGAAGCAGGTTTTATTAAGCTATTCTAGCAATTTTTTGCATCTATCTTTAACACTAGCTTTTTACCTTTGTCCCCTGCATGCCTACTTGAACCCTGTATTCTATCCCATTGTAGTCAATCTGTGTGATCTATAACCAGCAGAGATTTGATTGGGTATTCCAACGTCCAAGTATAATTGGATTCAGCTCTAAACTGAAGCAATTTTATATCCCATAAACCTTTTTATAAATCAAGAACGTTACATTCACATTGCTTTTTATTATTGTAAAGATGTGTCACCTGGTTATTTGTCTTGTTTTAGCACTGTACTAAAAGCAGCTCTGTCTCATTCAGGTTTATTGTTTTTTTTACCCTTTTCTTCTGGTTTTTATTTTTTTTTAAATTCATATTTTTAATCTACACATGCGGAAGTGTTAGGATAATTTTTTCTCCCAGTAATGGCACGTTTTGGCAATAGGCTGAGCTTACAAATAGCTAAGCTGATTTAGCCACAAGGCACCAGGCCAAAGATTGCAACAGCATGTCAAACTACAGACTTCATGGGCGGCTAAGAAAAAAATGGCAGCACGCGGGGACTAAAATCAAGTTTGAGGAAGAAAACATAATAAATATAAATAAAGGCATGTGCCAAGGGGGAGAATAATCATTAAGAGACAAGGGGTCCAAGGAAAGTTACGCTGGAAGAAAAAAAATGTCAGAGCCACTGTAATATTACATGTCATATTAAAATTATTATATTTCTGATCGCTAAGATAACAAGCCAATTCAGAGTGAAAGTTGGCTGTTATTTTGGATTCAAAAACGATTTTGTTTCCCTTTTTTTGAAGGAAAATTGGTATCGGCTCTAAAGCTTTCATTCTGACTTCTTTTAGATCAACAACAAGAAAATGTAAAATGCTCGATCGTGGGTTTTTCCAAACTTAAATGTTACTAGGCATGTGCATAGGGGAAAATTTTCGGTTCGGTACGGCATACCGAAATTCGGGACTTCGGCAATTCGGCACTTCAACACTTCGGAACTTCGACACTTCGGAAATTCGGCAACTTCAGCACTTCGACACTTCGGAACTTTGGAATTTCTGAACTTCGGAATTTTGGAACTACAGCATTTCGGCATTTCGGGACTTCTCTTGCAGCCGCTTAGTAGATAACTCCCTAATTCCCATGGTATCTACCAAAAGGAGTTATCTACCAAAAGCCTGAAAGACCTAAATTGGTCTTTCAGCCAAATTTACTAATACTAAGTAAAATTTACCTAGTATTAGTAAATTTTGCCCCTACTCGCTATACCGCAATAATTTAAACATGTCAGACTGAATCTGGGTATTTCTGTTGGGGTTTTCCATTTCTATACTTACTCATTTCCTACTCTTTCTTTTGTGAAGATAATACTTGGTTGAATTAAGAAATAAACAAAATATGACAGTGTGCAGGAAAATCTGTACTTCCAAATATACCCATAACCACGCCGCTGAAAAGTTACATAGTTACATATAGTTACATAGTTACATAGCTGAAAAGAGACTTGCGTCCATCAAGTTCAGCCTTCCTCACATTTGTTTTTTGCTGTTGATCCAAAAGAAGGCAAAAAACCCAGTTTGAAGCACAATTTTGCAGTAGGGTAGGAAAAAAATTCCTTCTTGACCCCAGAATGGCAGTCAGATTTATCCTTGGATCAAGCAGTTATTACCCTACATTGAAAGATTATGTCCTTGAATATTCTGTTTTTGCAAGTATGCATCTAGTAGCCGTTTGAACATCTGTATGGACTCTGATAAAACCACTTCTTCAGGCAGAGAATTCCACATCCTGATTGTTCTTACAGTAAAAAAACCTTTCCTTTGCCTTAGATGAAATCTTCTTTCTTCCAGTCTAAACGCATGGCCTCGTGTCCTATGTAAAGTCTGGTTTGTGAATAGATTTCCACACAATGGTTTGTATTGGCCCCTGAATATGTTTGTATAATGTTATCATATCCCCTCTCAGGCAATGTTTTTCTAAACTAAATAGGTTTATGTTTGTTAACCTTTCTTCATAGCTGATATGTTCCATTCCTTTTATAAATTTTGTAGCCCACCTCTGCACTTTTTCTAGTGCCATAATATCCTTCTTTAGAACAGGTGCCCAAAATTGCACAGCATATTCAATATGTGGTCTTACCAGTGATTTATAAAGAGGCGAAATTATATTCTTGTCCCGAGAATAAATGCCCTTTTTCATGCATGACAATACCTTACTGGCCTTGGCCACTGCTGATTGACATTGCATATTGTTGCATATAACAATTCCCAAGTCCCTTTCGTGTGTTGTTATCCCTAATTCGCTTCCACTAAGGGTATACGTTGCTTGTGTATTCTTTACGCCGAAGTGCATAACTTTGCATTTTCCAACATTAAATTTCATCTGCCATTTGAGTGCCAGTCCCCCAGGCTATTTAAATCACTCTGCAGCAAAGTAATATCTTGCTCACAATGTATTATTTTACAGAGTTTTGTGTCATCTGCAAACACTGAAACATGACTTTCAATGCTGTCTTCAAGATCATTTATAAACATGTTAAATAGAA